GAACAGCGAATCGAGGGCGAACTCAACGAGCAAGAAGAAATTGTTGCTCCGACTCTTACACGATCGTTGGGCGAGGATTTCTCGCTCCAACTGTAATTAATGAAGCACAAGTAAAGTTAACCGAGGAAGAATATTAATTATTAAAATTAGGTCCTCGGTTGATTTATAATGATCCACCAACGGCTTCTCGACAATGTACAACTGAGTTGACTATGTTAAAAGGTAAAATTGAAGCACGAATTTTCGAAAAAAAAGTGAGCGCCGGACGATCAGTTGAAATATTTATAGCCGAAATGGATGTTATATTGAAAAACTTACATGATACACCTATTTGTAAAATAAATCGAAAATATAAACAACAACATGAAAGAATTCCATATGATAATTTATTAGAAACGATTCAATTGAATCAATATCAAATTAGTAAATGTCCAATTACTGCTGAAAAAAAGAAAAATTATGGTAGATTGGTCAAATGGGTAAAACACAAGCTTCGTTCAACTAGTATAGTTCTTCAAAAAGCAGATAAATCTAAAGTTTTTCATTTAGATAAATTACAAAATTATCACAAAAAATCTGATGAATATATGGAAAAAACTGAAGCATATAAATGTTTACACCAGAATGATCCATTACCAAGTTTAATTGACCGGACAAATAAATATTTATTAAATTTAAGATTAACAAATTAGATTACACGGAAACAATATGAACAATTAAGCATTAAATCAAATGAAATGGAATTAGCACATCTTTATTATTTAGCAAAAGCTCATAAACCTGTTACTCCACTTTGTCCAATTATTTCTGGTCAAAAACATCCAACTATAAAAGTATCAAAATTTCTCGACGAATTACTTCGACCGTTATTTAATAAAATGGCATCAAACACAACTGTTACTTCTGGAACTGAAGTTATTAAACAATTGCATGAATGATCAAAACGAAATGTACGTTAAGGAACCTTAATATGTACAATGGATGTTATGGTTCTTTATAGGATGATACCCCAAACAGAAGGTATAATGTCAATTAAAAAACTATTAGATTATTTTAAAATAAAAAAATTGGTAATAGAAAAGCTGAAACAATAATTAGATTATGTCGATTCGTAATACAAAATAATTATTTTTCTTAGAATGGTAAATATTTTCATCAAGTACATGTTGGTGCTATGGGTTCTACATTAACATTAACAATTGCTAATTGTTATATGTACTTTTATGAACGAGATATTGTTAAACAAGTGAACAATAGCAATGGACTCTATTTACGATGTATTGATGATATTCTCATAATTATTAATTGGCCGATTCAACATCTTTCTAAACAAATTAATCGATGGAATGAATTAGACTTGATTATAAAATTAAAAGCTCAAGTTGGTCATTCAACAAATTTTCTTGACTTATACATAGAAAATAAAAATGGTGAATTGTTTACAAAACTTTATCACAAACCATCCTATGAAGCATATTATTTACCATTTAATGGTGTTCATCCAATACATGCATATGAAAATGAATATTCCATATGCTATGTTAATTCGTGCGATTAAATATTGTTCAACATTTGCAACATATTTAAATAAACGTGAAAAATTAAGACTGACTTCATTATTAAATAAATATCCTGGTGAGTTTATAGAGAAACAATTCAGCAGAGTATTTCAAATGCATAATTTGATGCAGCTATTATCGACAAGCAATTATAAAACATTACGAGAGAAATTAATTTATTTAGATAAGAAAGAAAAATTTCCAATTGATTATGGCAAAACAATATTCATTCATTTTACATACTTTTTAAATATGAAAACATTTCCGACTAAATTTCATGCACTTTGAAACAAATACTTTGTAGAATTTCCAATAAATGAAATAAAACCGGTCTTAGGTACTCGTAATGTCAAGAATTTACAGCAACAACTAATACGTAATAAATAATATTCATTCAATCTGATTATGTTAAAAATTACAATTAAAATTTCTGGTTATAAAAATTAGAATGACTGGTTATATAAAAATAAAATTGATTGGTTATATGTTATTATGAAAATCTGGTTATATATAAGATTAAAATGACTGGTTATCTACATAATCTTATTTTGAATGTGTAGCTTATAACAAAGAATTATATTCGTTACAATATAAGAAATTTGATCAAAATAAAATCGGTTTACAATATATGAAATCAAATTAAAAGAAAATAAGTCCATTTATTGTAAAAAACAGTGATTTTAATACAAACAACTTTATAAAAATTAAAATTAGAACATAACTGATTATATACGTAATCGCAAGTCATATTTTAATTCGAATAGATTCAAAATGGAAACTTGTCAATCTTGCACTCTTTTTCTTCGGACCTTTTGCATTATTCCTGGACTTACCGATTTTTTTCGGTTTTTCGAGAAGTTGCATTTTATCTCTTTTTTTTCTCTTGGCGGTCTTGTTCATTTTTTTCGAGAAGTTACTTTTCTTTTTTCTCTTGGTGGTCTTTTTCATGTTTTCAAGAAGTTGCATTTTTTTTCTTGGTGGTCTTGTTGTTTTTATTTGTTTTTACGCAATATTTTTTACTTTTTATCTTGTGCTTAAATATGTAATGCAGAGCCCTGATGAGTATTTTAATATTTCAATAAAGAACATGAAACGCGTTGGCAAATTAAAATCTGCATTTCTTAAAATTAATTGTTTTGGCACAAGTCACAAATAATAAAGAAAATTTTTTTAATTTTTTAATTTTTCCAAATCTCGACAAAATAATCGATTGCTGAAAAGCAAACGTGGAGTGCAAGCAGATTGTATTTATCTTTTCTTCAAAACAGATAGGTCAGTCTGTTTTTCGATTGATGAACTATTTTTAGTGACGAATTTTTGTGAGAATGGTCGCTGATAATAAAGTTAATGAAACTGAATAGGAAGAAAATTTTCTTGAATCAGAAACGATGATATTTCGATGAATTGCGAGCACACGAATTTGTTCACTGGAATGCATTGATATCGAAGATCAAAGTATTCATTTGTTTTCGGCTGAAATCAAGTAAAAGAAGCTGTTAATCATCGCTCTTTGACATACTTTTTCTTGTAAATCGTAGTCGATAGCTTGATCGATCATTGTAGTAGAGTAGTCTGTACAAGTTCCTAGAGAGACAACCTACAAGCCTTCAATGAAGTGTATTACTATTACACAACAAGCTTAATAAGATTGAAAAACGGGATTAAAAAATAAAATGTTATTTTTATCATTGTGCCCTTTTTCTTTACCTATAACCCAAAGGAATCAACACGGCTCGAAACGAAATTTTCGTTAAAAATAAATGACAAACGAGAGATCTTCTCTGACAATTAAAACCATGTTGTTCAATCTTTTCTGAATCGATTTTAACATTTCTTTCGGATTAATTTGAACTCAATCTCATGACAGCTCTCATTGATGATTGATTATCAAGAACAAAATTGCTTGATGACAACATTTCTTTTTCTTGGTCTCACGATGAAAACAAAACTTTTTAGTTTTTTTTTGACATTTTATTTTGATCTATTGGTAGGAAGGATTAGTTATATTCATTAGAGACAAAAGATTATATCAAGTCATGATATAAAACTGTTTTGAGTGCACTACCTTACATTTACTTTCACTGTTTCAACAATATAGACAGGTCACATTTTCTTCCATAATTCGTAGTATAATGTATGTAATCACTCATGTATGCATGGCCAGTGCATTCTGCTTATTTATCTTCATAATGGGTACTTCTACGATAGTTGGACCTGAATCATCAACAGCCATACCTTTTGGTAAAAGAATCAAGGCTATGTGGAATGGTGTTATTATAGCAGATAGTGATAAAGCAATTAAATTCGACAATAATATTTACTTTCCACCTGATTCTGTCAACAGGCAATATGTCGAAGATTCATCTACTCATACCACATGTCCGTGGAAAGGTGTGGCGTCTTATATGACGATCGTTGTAGGTGATGAGAAATTTGTGGATGCTATGTGGTATTATCCAATGCCCAAAGAGGCAGCCATAGATATTAAAGATTATTTTGCATTTGTACCAGATGTGCAGATTGTAGAAGATTAATAAAAATTCAGAACTGCGTCATTCATGAAAAATTTGCCAGTTATGATGAGATGGATGCATATAGCTGTTTGAAGACAAAAGAGAAGTGAAAATGAACAAGACAATATACAGAAAAGGGAGTACGTGCGCATTGCAAAACAACCTATTGTTGATTGGTTTTCTTTTAATACCGGATTTATAAAGAATACTTTTATTTATAGAAATCTTCTAAAAATTGTGAGCACATCATATCGGAAAAAAAGAGCTTTCAATATATTCAGTTTCACGTATTCTTCACAAATACTATTGGTTATAAGCGCAATTTTGTTTTGTATTTCGATATAACTGAACAGGGTTCAAATACATTGAGCGTTGGTTTGAAGAAAACATCAATTCTAAGAATAATCAATTGATGCAATTATTCAACACACACCTTGTGTTCATGAGATATCTGACGACATGAAATTAATTATTCATATAGGAAAACATTTAATTGGTTAAGCTAATCCAGCAGAATGAATTCGAGTTCTTGAAATTTACAGTTGATTATTGTACGAAAAAGATTCGTATTTGTGAACAAGACCGAAAATCGTTGGAGCCAACAAAGAAGGACTCATATAGAATGATATTTATCTCAACTAAGTAGCGAAAACCCGATAGATTTCCATCGGACGCATTGAAAGCAGCGAATAAAATAAATGAAAAGCTGTTGATGAATTTTCCTTTTGTTCGGTTTTTCAATCAAATTTTGGTCGACTGAAAAAGGATGGAAGCCTATAAACGATGAAATTGACTCTCTGTCGAAATTGAAGCTATTATTTCTTAAATAGTCCATTCTAATGTTAAAAGTAGAGTACCGTTCAAATTGGACATTTAGACTTCATTGTAGCTGTGCTTGATTCAGGACTAGATATTATTGATCTCCTATAACGTAATACATTCACTGTTTATACGAAAAATTTCTCTCCTTTCTTTAGCTCCTTTAACTTGACTAATATATCAAATAAAAGCTCTTTCTTCTCTATTAAATGGCATATATTTGTATATACAGCATAAAGATAGCCATGGCGAAATTCTCTCCTATTGAGCTCTGAAATCAGCGATCAACAGACACTATAGACGAACGTACTATATTTACAAGTCACACAAGCTGTCATTTTTGACTAATAATATCTTAATCTATCATCGTAGTTAGTTTTCCTATAAAAGCAAATGATATATTCGAAATCAACATCGTCTTTATTACTTATTGATCTGTCGTTTTGTATTTTCCTAGATTTTTAAAAAACTCAGAAAGGACTCTTTACAGTTATATTGACGTTTTGGCTGACTTCAGTTTTCTATTAACCTTTATCGAATGATGCATAACTCAAACTAGATCGCTGCTTTCACAAATCAATAGGAGGAAATTTCGAAATGGCCATTCTTATGTTGTATATACAAATATATGCCATTTAATAGAGAAGAAAGAGCTTTCATTTGATATATTAGTCAAGTTAAAGGAGCTAAAGAAGGGGAAGAAAATTTCTGTATAAACAGTGGATGCATCATGTTATAGCAGATCAATTATATCTGGTCCTGAATCAGGCATAGTCACAATGAAGCCTAAATAGCTAATTTGAACAGTAATCGACTTCTGACATTACAATGGACTATTTAACAACTCATAACTTCAATTTCGACAGAGCATCGATTTCATCATTTAGCAACTCTCTTCTTTCGTACTGGCAAGGAATTTTGTTTTTTCTTAAAAATCACAAGTTTCCATTCGAACAAAATTGGTATATAGTTTCTGACTTGCAAGTTTCTAACGGACTATCAAGAATCGGTAGAAATAGAAAAATTCACGGAGTATACTCTAATGTAAATCAATCAAGTATACTACTCTTGATACAAAGGTAAATTTAAGGTAAGCATTGCACAATAAGTAAATGGTCAGAAGTTCATACATAAACGCACTATTCAGTTACTTCTTGGTAAGAAAATTAAATATCATACTCACCTGTATATAATTGCTTTTATACTGAACCGAGACAATCTTCATTGCAGAAAGATATTTATTCCGTTTTGAAATACGCATTTAAAGTTGATAGAATGTTTTGTAGCAAATGATTCATTTGTCATATTTTTCTTTCTCTATTGTTAATCTTCAATATTAACGCTGTTGTTACGAAAAGGACGATTAAAATTTGTCCCCATGATCGGCCAACATTGGAAAATATTTGGTTAACAATTTGTATCTGCTGGGCAACCTTCATCGCTCGATTTGCAATGGGTGTAAGTCAACAGCTGTTGTCCATTAGTTATTAATGGATATCAAGAGCAAGAGAAGTAGAATAACATGTAGGGCCGATATATTATTGGTTTTCAAAAGGAATAGAGCCATAATCTGCTCTATTATTTCGTGATATATGAACTTGATATTTATTTATGTAACTTACTTCCATCTGACGGAAACCACAGTATGATTTTTGTTATTTTTTGATGGCATTAGCATTCAAGTAACGAAAGTGTGCGGGACTTTATCTCGTTTTTTCAAGCTAAGTTATCGTGGACATGTATTACGGAGAAATCTGCCATGAACTATCACTCCAAATGAACTGACGTGCAACACTTAATGACGATTCTACACATTTTTATGCAAATCTACATCTGAGTCCTAATTGAATCGATACTTTCGGTTTCGAGTTTTGTTCAGATCGGCTCAGGTTCTCAAAAGTTGGTTAGAAATTGGTTCATTTTCTGACTCTGAACCATATATCTATTCTATGTCTAAATGCAATAAATCGGAATTCCTGCGAATCAAGCTGCTTTAAAGAATATATGTAGATGTAGAATCATGGTCCTTTTTTAAATTTAAATCGTCGAAAATGTGTTTTTCGTTATTTATCATACATGTTATCGTTAGAGTACGGTAATGGCACGAAACACGGTATCACTCAACGTAAGATAGCAATACACAACGTATCTAAATTAATCATGTTGTATCTTTGCAGTTAACCATTATATTGTTTCCTCGTGGGCTAAATGCAGGATGAGAGGGTAAAGGTCTATATTTTAGCGACGCTGACACCTGCAGCCATGCTCGTTTTCAAATTTGTAGTATACATGAAAATCAGTTTCATGGCAGATGTCACATATTCTGATAATGTATCAAATCATCTATGATGCTGCACTGTATTAATCTTTGCTTATGAGTACTCGACGATAAACATTTCTACATGTATTGATGCACCAACATATTACACTTAAAGGTGTAGCTTCCTATGTTTGTTCAACGAATTCTTTTGACCATTGTCGAAAACTTAGATGAGATCTCTGAAAATCATGTTTCATTCGAGACTAAACATTCGCAATTGCATTTAGGCCTGGACTAGTCAAATGTCTGTAGCAAAATATGAATATAAGTCTTCTTTTCGTCCAAATTCTTACTCATTCTCGCTAGCTATTTGAAACATTTAATTAAACAGATGTACAAGTGTGTCTTGTAGATTCTGTTAGATTTGCATTGATTTTGTTTTTGATATCTTGAGTACTTTATTTATTTTGAAGAGAAATGTTTAATGAGTTTTATACCATGAGTCAGTGTTCTCTATTAAATTTTAGATTTTCTAGTTTCTATTTTTCACAACAAAATACTCTTTTTGAAAGAGACAGCCATATTTGATAATATATGATTTAGGACAATGTCACAGAAGCCAAGGTTTCTGCACCATTTCCACCTGCTTGTATCCAAAAACACACAACATATACCTGTCCTGTCACAACTGCAAAGGATTGGGGTGTGGGTGTGGGTGTAGGTGGGTGTGGATGTGGGTGTGGGTGTGGGTGTGGGTGGGTGTTGATGTGGGTGTGGGTGTGGGGTGTGGGTGTGGGTGTGGATGGGTGTGGGTGTGGGTGGGTGTGGATGTGGGTGTATGTTCTCTTTATCTACACCCCACCCACACCCTCACATACTTACGCATCCTGACCCTTCATTGAGAATTATTGTGAGTGAGAATGTGACTTCTTTTCTATCTACATCCACATTCTCAAACAGAATGATAGATTCTCTTTTTTCTTTATTAACTAACAAAAATTATAACTATTTTCATTGCTGTTTAAGTTTTCCTTGTTGTTTTTGTACATAAATGAATGATTCGGCAAAATTATCAGCAAGTTTGGTATTCATTTCATCCATTTGTTGTTCACATTCATTTTCTAGATGAGGTCGTATGACATTTTGGTCGAGATACTCTTTGAGTAACTTCATTGCTTTCGTATTTGCTATTTCATGTTCTTGCTTGCTTACTGCACTTATAAAGTCGTGCATTGCTCTTTTCAATAATCTACCGCCTGAATTCGATTGCTGCTCAATGATCGTTTGCAGCCGAGATCGTTGTGTTGAAGCTGTACAAAAAGTAGCATTAACAGTATTGAAAGCTTGGCGATAATCTTCGATTGCTTGATGATTGTTAGTTAAACGATCAATATCAGTCTTAAATTGATTCTCACGTTCAATAACTGGCCCAAGCAATTGACAAACATTAGCATTCAACTGATGTCTGGTCTTTTCAAAAATAGAAAATTTATCAGACGACGACTGTAGAATATTGGTAATGAGTTTATACGTTTGATTGTCGAAGCCTCCAGTTGAGTTGAGTTGTTTAATCGTTGTTGTAAAACAATCACGAATTTCGATTTGTTCAAGTTTAATAACACGTTCAAGAGCATTTTGTAGAACTATGCCAAATATATCGGTGAGTGGGAGTTTATTAATATTTTTATTCATAATATTAAGTGCATGTAAAAGAATGTCTTGGTTATTGCCGGTGGCTGAATGTTGGACAACAGGTATGTGTTGATGTAAAAGATCGAACATTTCTTTTTCTTTGCCGTTAAACAATGATTTTTCATTAAATAAGCCCATGAATCGATCAACACTGACTGATATGCCTTGTCTCAGCATTTGTTCTAGATCACTATTGAGCAATGTTTGAGCATCTTTTATCCATTCTGGAAGTTGTTTAGCAAAATTAATGATATTTTTATCAACTCCAGCAATATCCAACCCTTCTATAGCTATTTGTGTCACAGTTTCTACAGACAATTTATTAGTGGCCACTTGGGAAACAGTATCACCAGCGACGCCCACCATTTTGATGTCCTCTATTGAAACAATCGGTTGAAGAGATTTGAGCAAGGATACACCGATACAAAATAGATCTTTGCCATATTTGGTTACTGTCGATTCAAAATAATCGGTCAGATCAAAATCGGATGTAATTTTTGTCGCTAAAATTCATTGGAGTTTTCTCCTTTATTCAAAATATTAATATTTTTTTTTCTTATAACTTACCAATAGCTTTATAAACATCGATCAGTCCATCAAGAATCATCGATGTGCCTAAACGATACTGATCTACAGTACATAAGAAAGCTCCTCCAACGATAAGTGCGACTCCCATGACAAATATAAAAACAGTTTTCCACCAACATCGTTTCTGTTCAATGATAAACACATATCGCCACATTAATCCTTCGGCAAGCCATTCTTCTCGTTCAACATTAATATCGTTTGTTAACGGTTCAAATTTTGTTCCTTTTAAACAGGCTAATGTTTCTGGCCAATGCTCGAAACGACACCATATTTCATGTTTATCCTCGTTGAATTGTGTCAATTGTTCACGATTATTTTTCAAATCTGCTTGAACGATTTCAAGATAGATCAATTCGGTAAGAATCGGATGATTGACAGGACCGTTTGCCTACAATAAGAGTTATGCTGTCAACAATAATTTTCATTTTATTTCCACTTACTTCTGTTTTAGTATTCTGTGACATTGGTGGATCATGAAAAATCTGAATTAGTTTACGTGTTTCAATCTCTAGATGAAGTAAGCGAAGTGTCTCATCCAATGCTTGTATAACTCGATTGATCGATGATTGATTATTTGCAATATGACACGGTATTGTGTTGTAATGAGCAATAAAATCTTGATCATCTAATTCTAATGCTCGTTCGTATAATTTCAATGCTCGTTCTCTTTTATCACTTAATTCATTCATACACATGGCATGAAATCCGGCATAAATAAAATATTTTGGATGAGCAATCAATTTGCTGACTGCTTCACATTGAAGATCAGCTAAATATTGAGCTCGAGATCGTTTCTGATCTTGTAGCATAATGAATAATGATCTGTCGTTTTCAAATGACACATTATGTTTCAACGTAGTGATGGCGGCATCGAGTCGCTGTTGTATGTCAGTAGCAAATTTCGAAAAAGACTGTTCAGCTGTGTTTTCATTTTCATCACAAAATGAAGCCCATAGTTCACGAAATGAACTGAAGCCTGGCTTGAATGCATCGTGTTTAAATGGAAGATCATTCTTTTTGGAATGAGCAAGATCAAGAAAACGAACGAGAAGACGATCTTTTGCTTCAATACGCTTTACTTCTTCTATAGCCGCATTCATCTCATTTGTTTCTTCTTGGTCCCGAAATTGTTTCCATCTATTGATTGTTTCAACATCATCGATCTTATCCAATGTTGTCGCGAAATCTCTATTATAGACAATCAATCGAGCTGAGCCGGGTTGACCTTGTCGTCCGGCTCGTCCAAATGCTTGCTGCTCAATACGTGAATTTTTTGGCATAAAAGTCACAATTACATGTAAACCACCACGATTATTGATTTGTGTCGTTGTTTTCAGATCAGTACCTCGTCCAGCTAGATTCGTAGCTACGATCACATCACCTGAATGAACTAGTTCTGGTTTATTATGTTCAGCTAGATCACTGCGAAGATACAGATTCAAGCGAGGATGTTGAGAAAGTAAAGATAACTGAACATCATCAGCATCCTGAATTGTTTGACAAATAATCAAAACAGCTCGACAATTAGTAATGGCTATTGTATTACATTCTACTCGAATTTTATCCAACCAATCTTTACGATCTCGACCAAATTGACCTGTTTACGAAAAACAAATCTTTACAAAGTGTATCGCACGATGGAAGACTTCAACTAATGAAAGTCAGCAGAAATCGCATGATATTAATAGAATTTGTAATACGTCAAAAGTACTAACACAATTGAACTTACTTGAATAAGTATGAAACACACTGTCAACATATTTGGGCACAATGACAGTATCAATCTGATAGACCGATTGGATAAAATTTCGTGCATCTGTACCACCCAATGTTCCCGTTACACCATATAAATGTGGTTGATATCGCCTGAAAAGAGTGACATTGGAAAAGAATGAATCACATATACGTTCGGGTGTCATGCGTAAATTGTGTTTCAATTGAAGAAATTGATGAACGCCATCACTCCAATTCATATTCAAGTGGGACACACCTGTGTTTGCATAATCTACCACTATTATTCGTCCATCTTTACTAATGACATAGTCAACATCCTGTTGTAAATCATAGAGTGCCCGTTTTGCAGCCTTTATCCATTTTGGTAATTTAGTATTGATATAGGATTGACGATAAGCCGGAAAACGAATAAGTTTATCATTATTCAGTTTGTCTTGAATAAATGTTAGAGCATCGACTATATCAAACGATTTCAAATTCAGTTGTTTTTTTTAGTAATTAAAGAAAATTTTCTCACCTTTGACATATCCATGCGGTTGTCGAATGACAAATTCATTTTTTTCGGTAATATTGAATTTTTGAAAGAATGCAAAGATAAATCGCAAGATAACATTTAATGATTTGTATCCAGGTGTAAGTGATGCTAATTGTGTGTAATGCTGATGTTGATCAATAAACATACTATCAACTTCATCGACAATTGCCGCTTCATAAGGTCTGTGAGCACGTACTTCGGTTTGCAAATAAAATTCAGTGCGTAGTAGATCACCAGCAAAATGATTGACTGTTCCGTAGATGATGTGAACATTGTAGTTTGGACTGTCAGGACGATCATAACAGTTGTGTCCAACCGTCAGATCAAACATTTGATAGAAGGATGCAAATTCCTCGGCATCACGTCGAGCAAGAATTTCTGAAGTGGTAATTATATCGACACGTTTGTTCAATGGAGGAAGTGAAAGATAAACAGCCACTACAGTAGAAAAATACAAGATACATTAAATAAAAATAAATCTTTTTCTTTAAATTTTTGTCCAGTTGCAACCGACCGATCACACTGATTTGTGGTGGCTTCTTTACATCCGTATTTCGACACAATTTTTTTAAACGTATTGCAACGGCTTTTGGCTGAATTCTGAACTGTACGCTTTTAAATTCAACCGAACACGTTCGGTTAAAACTTTTTTCAAAACTCAATTGCAAGAATTTCTTCCGAACTAAATAGAATCGATCAGAGCTCAACGGAACTAGAAAGAATATTTACCAGAAAAAAGTAAACTTATCAGTTTCGACAGCCGCAACTTTGAGTCTCGACTGATATTGATTAGGTTAGGCTATTCTCTGCTTGTTTTCAATGCATTATTATCATGTATGATGAGTCATTTCATGAGAGCCAAGATCAACTTTGCGAAACTCAAGATACTTATGTTCTGATTTTACTCTCAAATAGTTCTAAATGGTTAGTTTTGGGATGAAAAATTTGAGCGATTTACAGGACAAGTTGAGGTCAATTTATTTTGCAACGAACTTTTATAGCCCTCATCCAATCGAGTGCGAGGAAAACGATTCTTTAATTATTAGCTACATAAATCTTCCCGATGACGTTATAAGTTCTTTGATATCTTAATTGGTGGGAAATCAATAAAGACATTCTTTCAATGACTTTTCAAGCATTGAAATGAAAATGTTTGAACAAACAACAATGCTTTCTCTTAGGTGCGAATTCATAGTAATGACTGAAAATACCTTTACGGTCAATATCAATATTTAATTTCATTACCATCCATATATACTAGTCAACATGTTTGATCTCAACAGCGAATTGTATTTGTATTGGTAAATATCTAATCATTAATAAGTTTTATAGAAGATAAATTTTCCTACAAATAATTATAAATATATTTTTGTCTAAAACTTTTTGAATTTTTCGGTCTAGCATCATCAGATGATATTATCACCTTTTTCATGCACTTTAAAACTATCTTACATCGTTAATGGCTTTTATTGATCTGAGAAAAACATATTTGTTATCTAATGAACATTTTTGACAAGATACAAATACAGGAATATAGACAGTTAATTTTATCCTTTGAAGAATGGGAATAACGTAGTTGATAGAACTTAAAAGTTATATATAAGAATAAGAATTCAGATTGAATTACTGAGAACTCAATAGTGGGATATTATCCAACATGAGTTTAAATTTTGAACTTACACATAGCCACAATAATGGATTTGCCCTCGCCAGTGCGTATTTGTGCTAATCGTCCTTGACCTTGACGTTGATTTTCAATTAGAAGAAGAAGAGATAGAATCTGAATATCTCTTGGACGATATTGTTCGTGAAGATGTGCTGCTTGAACAATGACAGCAATCGTATGAAGCTCGTCGTTGTTCACCTGACGTTGCCGAATATCTGAAGATTTCCATCGAGATGTTTGTGTTTCGTAATGTTTCATCACCATTCGAAATCGTTGTTCCAAGTCGGTTATATCCAAAGATGAATTTTCCTGAGCTAGTTCTTGAAGAAGCATTGAAACTGATTTAGATTTACCTTTTTCGTCAATAATTTTAGTCACTTCATCCATCCATTGAAGTTCTGAATGCATAGTAATTGCGTTGACAATTCGTTCAATATCCCATGGAAATGATATTTCATTGGTTAAAATCATTCTAACAACGAGTAACGCTGTTTTCAGTACTGAGACATTTTGTATTTGTAAACTATTGAACATCAGCTCGAGTGATTGAATTGCGTAATAGTCCCAATCTAGTTCAGATAATTCGGCAAGAATTGCACTCAATAGGCTTCGATCATCATCTGGTGATTTTTCAACTACATCAAACAAAAATGGGTCTATTGCAGTGGTTGAACATGGTTCAAATGAAAGAAGTTGATGAGTCACATAACTATCATTAAGGGATGGCTGGTCGACCATACTAAAAGAAGAAGCAACATATCATCTCTTTATAATAAGATCTGAATCTGGAAAAAAGTAAACAGTACCTATTGTTTTGATTATTCAATTGAGGTTGCTGTGGGGATGAAGCGGAATTAAAAAGTGTCGATGGTGTCAAGTCCATAGTCATAGCTGCTTTTGGGATGATTGCTGGTGCGAAATCGAACGATATTGGATTATTATTGTTATTATTCGACTCAGATAGAAGTGGAGTGTGAAGATAATCGAGCCATACTTCACATGGAATTTCACCTGATTGTATTACTTGAAGAATCTTATCTACTGGCAACATTGGTACAGTGACGATATCACGTGTTAAAAGTTCATGTAAATAGCATAGGTTCTTTTCCAACTGTTCTGGCATTGATTTTTCGAATTGACTTGTCCAATCGATGATCGTTTGTAGTAAACAGTATTTCTGCTCATATGTCCATGATTCCAATGCAAACAAAAGTTCATATACAACTTTATAATGATCCATAGCTTGTTTGGATGATGCCATGATCAAACTGTCTCTTGTTTCACTAAAAATGTATCATTTATACACACTGGTTAATCATCACATGTCACCATAGGTTACCGTAAAGTTGCCAAACCAAACAAAATCGATAAGAAAGTGTGTTTGCTAAGCGGTAGAATGTGCGCTTTTTACGGTTTTAAAAACAAAATTATTTTGAAAAAGAAAGCGAGTCGAAAGACGATGACTCTCACAAACTTGCTTTTTACAACGAAAACAATTGTTTTTCTACCTTCTTTGAAGGTAAAAAGCGCACATTTTAACGCGTTAAAATGAGGCCTTATCAAGAGTGAGTACTGTGAGCAGACGTTAGCACGTGGCATTCTATCGTATGTGGACGTGACTTGATTGAAAAAGAAAAGCTCATTAATCATTAACATCCACCTACATTCTCAAGAAAAGAAGTCATGAAGCTCACATTTTAATTAAGCATTACTCTAGCCTAATCTGACTTTCGCCAATGTCAAACTGGCATGGTTCATATTCATCCTTCGATCTAGGATTGGACTAGTTCATTTTTTAAATTCTTCTAAGCAAATTAGAGAGTGGACATAGTCTTAACATCAACGCTTGGATTAATACATATGAAAAAATAAGAATAATAATCTACTTTTCGCCAATCGATTCTTGAAGGGGACCTACTCATAATAGGTTTATCACTTAACGTAGTCCAATCTAGCTGAATTCCTTAGCAATCAGTGACCCTCATGAGAAACGCTTTTGATTTAAACTTTAGTTCGATATACTAAACTAGACCATACTTCTAGTTTATTTATATTCTATTGATGATCTTCAAACGAACTTTTATGTCTTCTTCACTAGAAGGTGTGCTCAGCTGCGATATAGTGACAAATGACTCTGCGGATGTTCCTGATTACTAGTTTATCAAATGTTGGAATTTCTCTCGTTATATTTTTACTTATTGACTAGGTACACTCTTTTGGTTCCATGAAATATTTTATTCGGTTTCTGAACACATATATATGTGTGATCGTTCTTGTTACATCGCGGAGTTATTCTTGTGTATCTCTTCTCTCTATTCTTCATCTAACGGAGATACTATCACTATTATCCTTTTCATTGCTCATGCACCATTACAAGAGCTCGTGGTGGCTTCAAATTAGTCCCTTCACCGTTATTGACGAATATATTCGTTAAAGCAATCTTTATGGAAAAAATGACAACTACAATTCCTAAACTCTGTTTTTTTTATATGCTCTGTATCGTCTCTAACATCCTGCATTGGTGGGAGCCCATTGTACTGATTCTGATGTTCATATCGGTTATGCCTCTCTGTATCAATTACATAATTAATCGAATTAATTCTGGATTCGCTCCATAATTAACATTATTATTGAATGGACTCTTACTACTTTCGGGTAGGTGTGGGTGTGGGTGTAGGTATTTACTTCAACTACATCAATTCCCACTCCCGGAGCACTTAGTCAAAAGGAAAAGACCGTCAAATGAACCTACACCGGTACGGTTAATATCACAGTACTTTTCATCTTTGATTCCTTCAACTGAAAACGAGCAGCATCCAACAAGATGTTGTTACGTTTGTAGTCATACACAAAACGAATCTAATTGCACAAGAAATAAATCGACACACGAATGTACAAGTTGCAAGGTTGCACTTTGTGTTGATCCATGTTTTCGTGCATATCACACCTTGCTAAACTTTTAAGCGAAACTTTGAATTTCAAAAACCACTTTTGTAGGATCTCATTTGTTGCGCTTTGCTATTAAAAAAACAACTTCTGTTTGCTATATAAAGTAATAAAACATGTTTGTCGCAGATTTTTTATATTATTCTTAAATGTTTGTGAATATTTGAAGGTTATAACGCGAAAAGTTCACTGTTTACTTTCAAGCAAAAGTTAACGGTGAAAGGGTTAAACAAACAGGCGGTACAAAAGTTTCTGAATAAATGTCGGTTCATTTTTGATCGATTAAAGCATATGTGAACAAAATCAGAAGTATTTGTACATAATCTATGTTGAAATAATATGTGATATGTAAAAGGAAACGAATACCAAAGAAAGTACTGAACCCACATTATGTTGCGACTTCTTTCGGTACATTTCATGAGATGGTGTTTTATCTTTTTTATAACAAATTACCGTCTCTATTCTCAACAAATCATGTAGAAAACACTATGGAAATCTTTGAAAATACATGGAGGGAACTCACTATCTGATCTCTAGCCATTTTTAGATTACTGTTTTTATTATTTTTGCTCGCTGTTCAACTTTGTCATTTCAACTATTTTTATCCAAAAATGGCGCCATTCGATTCTTAAAAAAATTTTATTGGCTCATCATCGTTTTCATATTCAGATTTGACATTATTTCTTACACCATTGCTCGTTAAATTGTCGATCACACCATCTAACATGATACTGTATGATTTTCTATTAAGTTTGTAGAGAATTGAATGGCTTATCTAACTGAGAAAAGAGCAGCATCATACTATCAGTCGCATTGGACAGAATACAAGAATACTCACCAGAGATACATGTTTCCGTGCCCACTACTTTGAGCTGTTTTTACCGGTCACATTTTAGTCCTAACTAAAGATGTGCTCTCTACTGAAAGACAAAATATGATAAAACTTCTTTGAATATACATTTAGAAACAGCTTTCGAGTTTATTCACCCATGTTTTAGTCAATGAAAAATGAACCAACATTTGTGCAAGAACTTTTGCATCACTGGTTAACACAAAAAATATGTAAAATGAAAGATTTCTCGTAGATTACAGTTGCTTTTCACGATAATCGAACATCAGAATAAGAACCTTTCTAATTTCTGCATTTCAAACGGAAGTTGTTTATTTTGTCTTTGCGCGCCCCACTATTTGTTTTCATTGTTATTGTTCCCTCATTATTTTTCTTGTTGTTTTAATTCGTGTTTTTTAATTTAACATTCTTATTATTATAATCATTGAATTAATCAACAAACAAGTCTATTTTACACATTCATGACATTTACGGCAGACTTTATGCACTACTATATATTAATCAACTAACAAACAATGATTTTGACTATATTTCAAAATTACAACTTCATCATTTTTGCAAAAAAAAACTCTAAAAAACCTAATGCCTGTTATTCTCGATTACTAAATGTGTGTAATGGGAAGGGGTGGGAAGCCGCAAAAACATGCTTTTAAACTTACACTCACCATTTTCTTCGACAATGAATGTGAATTCCTCAAAATCGTCAATTAACCGTTTGTTGTATGATTAAATGTAACAACATATGGCATCGATAAAGGATTAGTTACTTACCCAAATACGCAACTCTAATCAACTTGGAATATTGCCATCACTTGATGTTTACACAGTTATATGTTGTTATGCTTTTTCATCTCAATGCATCACTCATTCAATATGCATCATCGTATTTCCAATAACCATACATCAAATATGGGTCATAGAGTCCCCACAAAACAATTGATTGACCTTACTGACTATCATCCAATCATATGAATCTACATGTCGAAAAAATCAATAAATTGAGCAGCAGCAAGCACAACAAGCTGCTACTCGACAAAATAATTCACTAGTGCATCAACATTTTATACAAATGAATCGAAATCAATTAATAATGGCGTCGACTGCATCGCAGCACGCAGGTCAACATCGTCATCATCAAGTACTATTTAAGCAAAAATAAAATTCAGAATTATAACTCATAATTATCAAATGATTGATATTTGGTCAGCTTACCTATAAATAGTTGAAATGAAGCGGAAAGGTCTCTCAATTAGAAGAACCAAAATTGCAATAACTTTAGTTGAATTTCATCAGGTATCAGTATTTTGTAGAAATATGCGTCAATTTAACAAAGAAACATAACTCGAAAAGCAAGAAAAAAAATCTCAAAAACTTCTTCCGATTAAACTAAATTTCACAAAGCATTGTTCTTTTTTTTGTATTCTTTCATTTTAATTCCTTTAAGTTTGAGAATTCGACAATACATAATTACAAAACAATACTTTCAAACATCATCTTAGATCGATGTTCTATACCAATTTATGTGACTCAAAGAAATTCTTAAATTTTAATGCACAATCACAGATGATTATCAACGAACAATATGATTACGGCATATCTATAAATATGAATATAATCAAGCACACGAAAAAGAATAGACTTTGAACATAGTTTCAAAGGTAAATACATTTATTCTTCCGTATGTCAAGTAAATGCATTTAATAATGAGTACAGAGCTTGTCCACGCAAAACGTTACTCCGTCACGCTTTGTTTGTTTCATTACGTACAAACGATTCAATGTTTAAGAACAAATGTTTTTGCAGTTTTGGACAAAAAATTGTGCTTTTCAAAATGAGAAATTGCAAAGCTGTTCACCACTACTCATTCACTATAAACAGAGCGTGACGGAATAACATCTTCCATGGACAGGCTCTACAAACATTTTTTAAGGTCATAAATAATTTTGTTTTTCAAAAATAATTATATTTGATTTTGTCTGCAGAAAATTTTCTCTTCAATAGAATCAAATTATACTGTTTTTTACTATTGATAAAACGTGGTTAAGTGTTGAACAACTTTGAAAATAAAAAGAATAATTTTATTAATGGTTGACGCACTATAAATATAATTAATTATTTCTTATTTTAGAAGAAAAAAAGGCAATCATTTTTTTCTAGGTCAATGCATATTTTAATTGAAATTAATAAGATCTATAGTTTGACACGCACGTAATGCGGCATCGTAAAAAATAAAGCTGAGAATAGATTAAGGATTGGCAAAAGAGAGATTTCTTTCAGAAAAAAATGGACACTTTTTTACGTATTTATGATGTTTTTCGAAAACTTGTTTTTGATAAATATCGAGAAACAGGCAATTTTAATCTTACTTGTGTATGCTTTGTTCTTGTAAGATATTCGTTGATTGGCGAGATCGATTAATATTCTCTATTTTGTCTTCAACAACTCTATTATGACTGATAAAAATGCACGGTAAAAATTGTTGACTTGTTTTTTTATCTAAATCATCATTCGTCAAAAGTTCACTTTTTCTCTGACTTGACAAGTCTTTTTAGTCACGCACATGTAATAATTCAGGACCAAGATGAGATCATTAGAGCTGTGTGTCATTAAAGTATAGTGTTTATTTAGATGAATGAAAAATGGCTTCTGATATAGCCACGGCTCTTTATATTTTCTCTATTGGAGATCGTCTTTATCAAACTGTCGCTTTGTCAATTATTATTGTAAGTTCAATTGGAAATGTTTGCAATTGTTTAGTTTTTCTTTGTATTCCACCTTTGAATAAACATCCAAATGCTTTATTCATCATTGGATCATCAGTTGGTAGCTTCTTTTTTATCAATATTGGTCTTCTTTCAGCTGTTATACGAGTATATAGTGGTATTGATCCATCGAATCGATGGTTATTTTGGTGTAAAGTCGGTACTTGGTTTACTTATTCGGGTGGTTGTTTTAGTTTTATGTGTAATTGTTTTGCAGCTCTTGGTCAATTTCTTTTAACATTACCAAGAGCCAAATGGCATCGATTAATCACACATATTCGAGCACAAATAATGATTTTATGCACAGCAATTATTTGGCTTCTTATTTTCTTACCATTTCCTATATATTATATACATATTCGTTCATCAAGTACAACATTTGTCTGTACTAGTTCTTTCTCTTTAATCAGTCTCTACGGTACCTATTGGATTATAATTGGTTATTATTTTTTACCAATTATTCTTATATTCACTTTATTTTTTTTGACTTGGTATAATTTACAACAACTTTTAAGACGTCGTCGTAGATTAGATGCTGCAGTAACTCGAATGATGCTTCTTCAGATGTGTGTTTTATTGATCAGTGGTATACCAGCAGGCTTTTACTGTTGTTATATTTTGGCTACACAATATGTTTTGAAGACAAGATTACGATTAGCATATGAATATCTTGTTTTACTTGTTCTTACTCTACTTACGTATCTTACTAACGGAATTTCTTTTTGGATATATTTATTTGCATCTAAAACCTTTCGGAAACATATCAAAGACTTTGTTTTCAAATTTTCAATATTCAAACATCGAGTAGGACCATTGCCTGCTCAAGTGACAAGAACAAATGTAAATCGTTAAAGTCGTTTTAATACATGTTTAAATTATATTTATTGGCAAATGTTTATCTTAAACTATTTGCATATAGAAACACAATTCATCATTCCTTACTTGTCATTTGTTTTATTTATTGAAATTCTTTTATCAATAAATAAATTTTCATCATCAATCAATGGAGAAAAAAACTGAAATATCGATTCAACAAGTTAATATATTATGCTTCTTACATGCGGCAAGTTCCCAAGAAAACTTGCTTATGCCATCAAGGAGCAACATGAATTTTCTTACAATGTGCACTTGTCTCGACATTTTTGAAATGATGCTCTATGTCAAAGCTATCATAAGCCCCGTGAAATAGGAGTCAAACTTTCTTTTTATATCAAATCATTAATCTGATAAGTTTTGTTCAATCTAATATCGTTATTCTCTGATGAAAGATTATTAATCCTTTAATTTTGATCAATTAATTTTTCAAGATGTCAACTGGCACATGATACTAAGTCTTGGAAGATATATAGATTGATATGAATTGATCCTATATCTACCATTATAATCCTCTAGTAATTCTCTATCTATACTATATAACTTAGGTTTTTTTATTTCTTTATATGTGTACACAAGGGTGTAAGTGTGGGTGTGCATGGTTATTCTTCATAAAAACTCTAGAACCAGACCCACCTACATTCTGATCCCACACCCGTACCGTCATACACAAGAGATGATCTGAAATTCGTACAATCAGTCACGAAAAACCTGAGGACTAGTGCCAAAATGTGAATTTTATTTGATTTTTATTGTTCAATAAAGCATGTATCATACAGAAATATCGCTCACTTAAATGTATTGATACGTATGTCTGCTGTGTCTTCTGTATTCATTAGGAAAAAAAAATCTATAGTTGATAACGTTCTGGTGCCATATCGATAAATTCATTAGAAATTTCTGGAATTTTCAGATCGCTAAGGGAATCAATAGTTGATTGTGAAATTGGAAAATCCCAACATTTGAACAGTGGTACCAGATTGTATTCTACTTGACGTGAGAAAGTTTCGATCCAATAATCGATCTTTTCTTGATCACTGTCAAGATTTGGTTGATCTTGTTCGTATTGACGAAAGACAGCCTTATGGCTGTCCCATCCAAACCCTCGTGCCAATTGTGCATATATGAAAAGAGCAACACCAGGGTCCTCTTTCCAGTCATCAAAGTTTGATCCCTTCTTTATATACTTCCATGTATTCTTTATTTGATCCTTGAGCCAAGGATGAATCCATACTTGATGATGGCAAATAGTATCCATCGCATGCAAAGTGAAAATATTCACGGTCACTTCATCAGCACCATCGTATGCTAAATGTAATGTTTGTAATCGATTTGATCAAGTGTAGCAACAAATCGCATACATACTCCAATAATCTCGTTGCATATTATGACCGATCTCATGAAATAGATCCCATGCACCATTCTTTTCTAGCTCGTTGCTATTTAGTATGTACCCTTCAGAGAATGGATCAGATACATCCATATGTGTGACAATAGGATAACCACTGTCTAAAATAAGCATTCTTCTCCAGCAGAGAGCGAAGAAATTCATTACGGGTTCAATATCCTTACGCATGTAGCCAAATGAAGGTTGCTCGTCACATACAATACGCTCGCGATGTGTCGGTTCTGTACCTCTTAGCTCATGATGAGCAAGTACAACAGCATCCCAAAACTGAAGAACTCGATCTAATTGAATACTATCCAAATGAAGTACACTCTTCGAAGGAACATTAAACACAATATGTCGACCAGCTATATCTACCCAAAGACCTTGTGCGTAGTGACGCCGGTATTACCATGTTGTCGCTCGATTAGAATCAGTGAGATCGTACGTAGGCGCCAGAACAACATGATGCAAATGAACAGTGATAGAGTTCATTTCACCTTCAGGACTTTCAAGGAAAAGAAGGCCACCAAAAGCTGAACTCAGTTGAACATGATTGCTAGTCAATGATTTGCAGACAGAAATGCATGACCATCGACGAAGTTCATCGCAGCTCTAATCAGTATATATTTCTATTGTGCTATAAAAGCAATTCTCGTGAGAAGACATACTTCAAGATCATCGCTGTGATAACCTATTCGCGCTGACCATCCAGTTGCACCTACTTGTTCTAATACATCAATCTGGATGGAAATACCTGCAGCCACATAATATCCTAAGAGAAAGCGAAGACATTGTGACGTATAGGCAGGAGAACATTCAACAGTTTGATTATCTTCTTTCATACCTGTCGAGAACCATTCGCTGAAATTTGATTGAATATGGCGCTTAACATTCGTTTCAGTCGATGGTGGTTGATTGAAATCACGCGGAAAATTCGTCATACCTAGAAGTCTCAAATGACTAACATTTGCTCACCAGAAGCCTTGATACCAGGTAGTACACACAAAATACTACAGATACCTATTGATTGTTCTCGACACTATCTATCTTGAATTGGACAATTAATCGATGGAATAACATCGCTATCAGCATTTACGACAGTATTCTGTAGAGTTTCAACTGGTACACCAGACAATGTATCACCGAACTCTTTGATAGCCAATGCAACAATGGTCAAGTATTTGATACTATCCGAATAGTTGACAAGATTTTGCACAATGTGATAGACATTTTTAAATGCAACTAAGTCGGGTTGAAAAGGAATTGGATCGGGACAATCAATACAATTACCCGTAATTTTCACACCAATATAGTCACAGAAACATGCAAATAGGAAATTCGAGAGAAGTGTACCTTCGTTATGTTCTAATCAACCCCAGGCAGTTGCTCCACAAATCAGAGAACCTCCATCTTGTAAATATGCACACTATAACAAAACACTGATATTTAACAGATCGATAATGAAAAAAAAATTATATGTACCAGATCACTCATAAAGGAATCATTCTTCGCCTCATGTCCATTCCATATCAGTATTTTATCATCTCGTGCCACATTATCCATCGAATCTGTATCATTGATCGATTCGAATTCAGTATCATATCCGCGAGCGAGCCATTGTAGACAATTTTCAACAAAATCTTGATCTTCGGTTTCATCATTAAGAAAAATCTCGGTATAGCCGTTATGTGCAAATATTAAACATCGACCGTGACCAAATTGAGTGGCCACAACGATCACATTGTTGAAGTCTTCACTGCACAGAACAGCACGTGTATTAGCTGTCATTGGAATGAGAGTTCCTGGCCAGCCAATATCACTAAGAAAATCCACCCATCAAACAAAATTTGAGATACATGATCAAATTCATCGTCAGCCATCCTCTTGCTGCTTTACCGTCTAGTGAAAAATATGATGTGCACGTCACGATCGAGGATTTATGATGCCTTAATTCATTCATTTCTTCTTAATGAGAATCGAACGCGTAGAACGAATAAGAGAGAGACAACGCAAATAAGATATACCAATGGATACCTGTATATATTTTTTTGGGACTCTGATCAGATTTTTTCTTTTCGTCCTCTTCATTTTTCTTGTAAGATATCATGTGACACATCAAAAAATATAGAGACTGAAAATAAATAATCGATGCAAGCATTAAAAAATACATATTTCTTCCCATGTAGCGATGGGCAATATCTAGTATGCTCATTATCGATTGAATAGTGTAATATATTTGTCACTAATGAGCAAGAATAGTTTTGCTTACATTCTGAAACCTTTTCTTGTTTGAATTTACCAAACTCAATGGTTATTGATCTAAGTTATATTATCATTTATTTAGTTTCATGATTTTTGTCAAAAGAATCGAAATGATTTCGTAATTCTATCTTTTTCTTCTCGATCTTTTGAATACTGAGCTGATACGGAATACGAGATATCCGTGTAGATAAAACTTTCGCTGCTTTAATCTCGTGGGATCATGGGGGTTCTTCAAAAAGAAAACGACTGATATTTATCAGTTACTCTTTCGTCTCAGTGCATGTGTTATTGGGTCAAGTGAACCTTTTCATCGAAAGTTGTCAATATGCATGATCAAAAATGATGTCGTATACACATTTTTATGTTTCAATTGACTAAATATAAATAATGAATTCCTTTTTTAAGTTATGATAAAACGATTATCTGTATGTATAAAGATTTAGTCATCATGTATGACGAACAAACATTAGAAATCTACGATCAATCACTCAAGAATTTATAAGTACAAGCAATAAAATGTCATATGTTAGGTCTTATATGCAGTCTATTATAGTTTCCTACCTGATTTCTTCACTCGCAATTTTGATAAAATTCTCAATCAATGAGTTCACTACAATAAAATCTTCTTTCAATATTTTAAATACATTGGCAAGGTCTACTCTTGTCAAGACCGAATGCATTAAGTCATTACCTTTACTTACGAGATCCTACAAAAGACGCACTGCACTACTACCCAATCTGCCATTAGAACCGGATACAATGGTATAATCCATGAGGCTTCGACATACTAAATATTTCAAACGACTATTGGTCATTATCAGTATTGAGTTTGAGTTTCTATCTTTACCATCCTACATTCAAGTCCGCTACGATAATTAGTATCACCAACTGTCATATTCATTTCACTAGGTGTAATGGTCAAATATTGCTATTCGAAAATTAGTCGGACGCTCGATTCAAATCGAATCATGAAGAATAGATCACATGCCATTTTGATCGTTCTCTAGTCAATCTTAAAAGCTTTGATAGATACTCTTCAGAGCATCTCAGCTGTACACTTCCCTTTTGAGTTCTTTTGCCCGTTTTAGCCGTTTTACTACTATATTCTTTTTCAAAAAGTGATGCGACAAAACATTAGTTGAATCTTGAAGTTTCACTGTATGGTCTATTTCAAACGAATATTTATCAGGTAGAACATTCTTCAAAGTTTGTCTGTAATTGAGAAGGTTGTGAATGTTGATGTAGATCAAAAGAAGAATCACACCTACGTCTCAACCACAGTCAAATATATTTAGAGTTTTTGGCAAAGAATTCACTAAGAAACATGCAATAAAAATAGTGTAACCATGATAAAGTAAATAATGTGTTTATACGAATATAAAACGACTTTTGTAGAGAAAAAACATATTTTTTTACTACTAAAAGGTATCATGTGGAAGATATTCTTAAACAATTTGCTTGCATTTTTGTTGAAAAAAGACCCATTTGTACAATTCTTTTTAATGGCTACACTAAATATATTCACCTGCTGTCTAATGTATTATGTTGACCCGAAATGTCAAATTATTGTTGAGAAAAATTTTCTCCATATTGTTGTTAGAAAAAGGATAGTTTACAATAGTTAAACAATCATGAAATGGAAACGAGCCATTGTAAAACGACACTGTCGCCATCTACCTATGATCTTACAGAGAAAAGCTCGAAAGACATATTCTCATGATCGAACTATTTTCAGGTATAAATTTATTCTGGATAAAATCGCATTCGTACATACTACTGCATTTTTTACTGGTCAATTTTAAAATTCGCCCAGACAGACAGGAACTTATGAAAAATCATTGAAACGCCATAATCAAAGTTCTCGTTTGAATCTTTCAGCAATATTAGTTACTTTCATCATAAAATGTGCGTGCGGTCGGTGAGAAAGGTAGCTTTTCCTGGTAGAAAATATGAAAAAAAATTCTCGCTATTTTGAATTGTTTTTTAGATAAAAATTACTTTTTTTATGCTTGATATCCTGTGAAACATATGGTGAGGAAACCTGTATGGCATTATCCGAATGAGCATGTCAATGTTTAAACGAGAACCGTAATTAGGACGTTCACATGCATTTTCAGAAATTCTTCTCTGCTTGGGCATCTTTGACTTACTGCTAGAAATGAAACTCCTTGCTGTCAACAAAAGAATTGATGAAAATCGATTGGTTTTATAGTATTTTTTTGACGACTTGAAGGGAGCTCATATTTCACTACTAAGGTACTTATTACTTCATAGGAATAACAATGAGTCATACGGTTGTTTTTTTTTTCATTCTCTATGTTTCACAACGCGACTGCAAGAAAAAAGAAAACGTGTCAAATGATACGTTAATGTCTGCATTTTTTCTATCCAACCAATCTAATTTTGCAACATGAGAAAATGTGTTGTTGATGTACGAACAAGCCGTTATTTACCGAACACAATCGGTGCGGCTAGTAACGACTTCGATACCACCTACTTCTCCTATGATCATTCGGCCAATACTATCAACTGTAAACTCTTCAATTTCAATCCTTATCGTTCGTTCTTACGACAAATTTATCCATCGGATATTGATGAAGATAAATTGACGGATGACATGCTTGACGTTCTTCATTCATACACCGACAGTCGAACGAACGAATGTTACATGAAAACGAACTTGAATTTGCTTAGTGGTGACATTGAACATATCGATTGGATCTATGTCAACAAACTGCGTTCATTGATTCGAGGTCTAAAGCAATCCAATATTCGTCAAGTGTACTATCGAGGATTGACACTGAGTGATACGGAAATCGTCTTCTATCAAGAGAAACGACATGAGTGTATCTATACAAATTCGTTCTGGTCATTCACGACAGATCGATTGTTGATATATGCGGGCAATGCTGTGATGATCTTACGAACAGATATGAGTACTGAAAGAGCGAAGAAGAATGTGGCTAATATTTGGAAATGGAGTGCTGTTGGCGAAGAAAAAGAAGCGCTTTTGGCTGTGGGAACGAAATTGAAAATTATCAGTGTACATCAATACGGATGTAAATGGGAGATCGAAGTCAAGCTGGTCGAAGATGACGATGAAGACAATAATGATAAAGAGAAACTGAATTTCTGAAATTCGCAATAGCGACATTGTCATCTATATGGTTTCTGAATCAATATAAAATAGGATTTTTATACGATGATCTTATCTTGATGAGTATTGTACGTTTATTGAGATAGAATTTGAGAACTTCATAGAATTCAAGGCATTCTACAATAAGAGTGGCTCGAAAAATAGTGATACAACTCCATTGAAGTTGTTACAAAGACTAGTATATACAATCACAATGTCAGTATTCTGAAAACTAAATTCAACTTGATTTCTTTAAGTCCTATGAGTTCCTTGAATTTTCAATTTCTGGATGTTGATATATTTCACTTTTATACTTAATCTTTCATTTTTAAAATTTATATGCTACTTTTTTAAATAGGTATTATTCAAATTATTCAAAAAAAAATAAAATTAAAAAAGTTTAGGCGATGTCAAGTGTTGCCGAAAATGAAACAGATCTCTAGAATATGATGTTCTAGTTTTAACAACATTTAAAGTTAATATTGATATGAAAAAATGATACATACATGAGCAAGTTAAATTTTTCTGCGTTTGAAACTCATATTAAGTACAATAAAGATTTCACTTAAGTAGATTGCTTGATGATGATTGCATCCTAATATTATTTGTGTATTATTCCATCATTAATTATACGAATAAAGCTAGTTTGAAAAAAAAATAGAACACATCAACAAGACACCATAATAATGACTTATTTTTCTGCTTCTTTTCCATTTCAAAGAAATAGTTACATGGAGAGACTTATGCGAATAAAGTAGATTGATATGGCTAACGCCTAAGTTGCATCATACGCGAGTCCATTGATGGAAGAGTAAGCCACATCAACATACTCACAAGATGTATTGGTTGCAGATGAAACTACAAAACGAGTAATATTCTGCATTGACGATGGAAATGAGTTTGAGAAAATGAAGACAGTTTCTTCAATCTGTCTACCAAAAAGTATATATTCAGAAAACGAGTAATTGAGTAGCGTCGATGAGACATGTTTAACAGGCATTGCACATAAGTCACGACCTAATTACTATAGTTGATGCTCAAATGATGTTTTCTGGTTTCGGTCATTATCATATATGTGATAGATAGTGCAGATGAGGCTTCGGTTTTATAAACACTCGCATCTTTCTTTTCGTCGTCACATGATCAACATATTTTCTTACAAGTTGAATTATCATTGATCGTCTTCTCCAACTTCATCTTCTCTTTTAGAAAATAATCATCATCAAACGATTGAAATGGAAATTGTAACATTAATTGTCCTTTTTGGAATTTATCTTTATAAGAAAATATATTAAATAACATCAAGATTTCCATTTCAAAGATAAAATTTAAAAAAAAGGATTTTATAATTAGGTTCATTCAACAGAGTAGAAGTGAGGCAGAAACAATT